AAATAAATATTCTTTGGGGATGGAATAATAGCAACCGCAATGAAACTAGTGTGGGTGCACGTGAATTTGTTTCACTCCTGCTGCTGTTTCTAAAAAATTCTGAAATGGATATAAATAAACCAATAATATTTTAATTACAGGGAGCAGCTTTGTTTACTACGTTACGCATGCATCGGTATACTTTATTATAATAATTCGAAGAGCGTCGTCCCATTGCACGTGGAAAGTTGAATAGAGGGGCTGAATGAATCTCGGTCACCGCACGCACAATATTCAGCTGATTTGCCCATGGAAACAGAGTCCTATTTGATGTGGAGGAGTGCTCATAGATTCCATTAAGAATATTGATTCTCCAATAACTTACCTAAGAAATTTTACTCTGACAATTCACTTAATACATTCCACAATATCTCCAATGCTCCTATTTACACCCCTAAATTGTCTATAGTTTCTTTCTTCTCGTATACAATATATGTGAGTACACCAAGCTAATCTAAGAATATAGACAATAAAGGTTTCTTATGAATCGAGTAATAGCCCAAGTCATCTCTTCTTCCCAGCTTCCCATAGCCCTATCTACTTTGCATAAACGAAGGATAACATCTCAAACGTTCGAAAAAAATATGATTTCGAGTCTCAGGCGTCACACTACAATTACTGCAGCTCTCATTAACCACGATCCCCATTTTAAGCAACCTACCAGCAATAAGCAGTCTATCAAGGATTGTCATCCAAGTGACGAGCGAGTGCTTGGAAACATTCACAGGGAATCAGATGAGCTTCTGCCACACAACATTCATATTCTTCTTCTTGATCTCGTTCCCTCACCAATTTCTTTTATTTTTACAGTTTAATTTTGTTTTAAGATTATAATAATATAAAATTAAATAATTAAATTTGTCATAATTTAGTTTTGACTCCGTCCTTACGAAAACGAAGGCAGGCATGGATAATATTGGTATCCCATATCTATTGTCTTTGTCAGTAAGTAATTAGAGAGAATCAGAATAGCAAATGGGTGGAATCATAGTAAATCTTGGACTTTAGCAAAAATTGCTCACTCAAAAGATTCTTGAAAAGTAAAAAGGAAAAATCAGAAGAAATAGTTTAAAACACGTCCCTCCCTATCATCTTGAGAGTCGCAAAACCTTTTTGTCATCAAGCTTTTGAATGTTTTACAATTCAGACCATTTCGGCCGTCGTTTCCGGCAAGGATATGCTTTAAAATCATTCTTTACAAATGATATATGTAATGCTCACCGGAAGGAAACGAAAAAGAAGAGGCAAAACCTAGTGGGAAAGGCCCACGACCACAACTCACAAGCATGCACTCAAACATTGATGCATAACTAGCAAGTTTACTGATTAAATTATAATAAACTGCTAATGAAGCTTTAATTTAGTGATCAATCTAAAGGTCACATCAATAAATTAAGATGGAGTACGGCGTAAATTATATATATAAAAAAATACTCCATTATAACAACTCTTATGTAGTTGCAGAAAAGGTTCAAATACGGGTTGGGTTCCTGTTAAAGAAAACAAGTAAAACTGGTTCAGTACAGTCTACAGATTTTTTATTTAGCTTAATAGGACAAGTAGCAGTTTATTTTGAGATCTATGGTATTTTATAAAGTGGCATAGAACTCGTCACGCCGAGGTGATAAGTTTATAATGAATTTCATGAGCAGTATAAAAATATTGTATATCCTAAAATAAATTTCTACTTATCTTATTTTCTCAAATTATTTACCTCATTTACCCTATTGGGTAAAAAAAACCAAGAAAGCTCATCAATAGGTACAAGCAATTATGGGTTGGGTGCCCGAGATTTCAATGGCAAATAATAGAATTCGGCATGTTGTCTCCATTGGGCCCAAAATAGTTATATCCATGTATGTCTCCATTAGGCTTTGGGTTTCACAATCAACATCAGACTGACTACCCGATAATTTTAGCCCAATACCGTTTAGGGTTAATTATTTAGTCTAATACAATACCATCTTTTTTTTTTGGGAACTATTGCATTTGTTACAGTAACTTAGAACTCGTCAAGTCGATGTGATAAGTTTTAATAAAAATATATTTTTTATTATAACTTGTCACTTTGACGTGAAAAAAACTAATAAAAGAATATTTTATTAGAAAACGTCATCTCAATGTGACTGGTTTGAATTAAATTTGTATATATATATATATATATATATATATATTATGATTGTTCAAATTCATATTTTTAATGCATTAAGCCTATGTCATTTGTGGGGAGAAGCCTTTATTACTAACATCTTTCAACTCTGTTCATAAACGTAAATAGTAATTTTTAAATATATTTTTTTTTTAGTTTCTGGTTCTACTAAATTTTCTCTTTGGACTTCCTTAACTGCAGAATGAAAGCAACAATGGACATTATAAGAATGTCAAATTCCACTGTGCTGATTCGACTTCCCAGGTCTGGATGTTTCAAAAGAATCAATGGATTTGCTGTTATCAAATTTGCTGCTGATGTATCTATCAGATGAAGAGGTAAATTTATTAGGACAACTCGAGATCTCTTAAAATAATAATCGTTTTTATGATCACCGAAATAATTTGGTGCGTGCTGGCAATGACCAAATTCGAAGAATAGCATATTTCGTGTAATAGAAAATGCTCAAAAACTATTTAAACAGTCAAATTAGAGATGAATGAATGATTGTTAGTTATAAATATCAAAAGATATATTTTTATCAAGGGAAAAATATTTCATCGGTTTCAAAATACGATAAATTATTATGAACAATTGTAAAAAGAGATTATAATTTATTTAATGTATATTTTCTTTTAATTACGACTCTAATGTATAACATTGGGAATTTCATATAATTTTTTCTTCTTAAAAATCACCTTTTTATTTTTTATTTTAATTTTTAAAACTTTAAGAATTAAATTATCTTGTTTTCGGAAAAATAAAAGGTCGTAATAATGGTTCATTGACTTGTAAATAATGAATTTTGTGTTGAAACTGTGTTTTCATACGGAGAAAAGAGTCAATAAAGTGGGAACCGACAACGACGCTTCGTGGCTTAAAGGCCAAAAGCCTTAATATATATATATATATTGAATATGCGTATATTCTTAACTTTTCTACCATCCAAATTCGATTTTTAAATACCAGACTTTGATTTTTGATTATTGCAATTTAAATTATTTAAAGATGAATTACAGCATTCAAACAATTAAACCCGAAATTTTGATTTTTCTTATTAATGTGTGGTGAGTACAAAATAATACATGTTCAGAAAATATTTTCAACCATCTTATATTATATGCTTATATTCTTGATATTTTTGGTGTTCTAACCTAAAGGCTAAAACCACAAATAAAAATTCATTTATCACAAAAAAACAATTGGTACACTTTACTTCTTAGTGTTCAATCATATACAAAAAGCTTATACTTAATAACTAAAAGAGAGAGAATTTGCCAAGTCGCCATCGTACAAAAATGATCAATAATCAATCGATAATGAAGAATTTCCATAGATTTATAAAGGGAGGGACAACAGGGTAGAGGGTACCCCAAAAACCGAAGAAATTCAAATCATTTCATCATAATGACCGATGGGCTAAACCCCGTGCATCAACAAACAACAAAGAAAATATAAACTTTTTGTATGGTGGAATTTTGCAACCCCAAAATCAGAAGCAGGAGGAAGATTCCAAAAACAACTTTCAACGCTGTAAAATATTGATGATAGTACATGAACTATCCCATGCAATATATATGTATACATGCTAAAGACAACTATAATGCATCATACTCAGATATATATAGATATATATGTGTGTATGTATAGTTTTCAATGCAAACAGATGAAGGAACAAAATATATATATTTTGATTTGTTTGGATATGTATGACATCACACGGCACAGTTTTGTTTTTATGTCTTGTTTGCATGTCTGCAAGCGCATGCACATTCACCCATTGGTAACTTTTTTTTCTTCTGTTTTACATGTACACATAGCTATTTCATCATTTCTTGCTTCAAACATATGAGCAAAATCAAAAACCATTTGACTCTCTTTATTCTCCCAAATTTTAGTGTTTAATAAAAGATACACATTTAAAAAAACAAAATTCGGGTTTATTGTATTTAGATTCACAATTCAGGATTATCTTTTCTAACAATGTCATCTTTAAATTGAAATGCTACACGTATGAATATGTATATGCATTAAGAAAAAGAATGATGTACATGCTACATGCATGTATGAATGGATAGATGCATGCACATAAATGTATATGCATGGGAGGAGAGATAGACAGAGAAAAGGGCAAGGAAGGGAGGGGCAGTTTGGATTAAGAATATGAATGAAAGGGAGAGGACATGAGGCGAACAATAAATGAAAGAGAGGTGTGATGAGGCTTATGATAACCCTCATCATCGTCACGTCGTTTTTCTTTCACCACTCCCAAAATCCCCCCAGAATTCCACGCTTCCCTCTCTCTCTCTCTCCCCCCCCCCTCCCTCTCTGTCTCTTTGCCTTTTCTTTTTTTGCCCTTTTGTCCTCTCATCATCTTCTTCCAATTGCCACCAGCCTCTCTGTGTGTGTGTGTGTGTGCGCCTCATACATACATACATACATAGTCATTAGTCAACCTCATCTGCCTTCTTCAAACAACTCCTCTCTTTCCTCTTTGCTTTCTCTCATCCATCCCTTTCTCCTCAAACTCTCCACCCCTTTTCTTTCATTCCTTGTTATATATATGAACTACAAGTCCATGTTTTTCAAAACTAGGGCTTTTCTTTTACTTTTCTTTTGAACCACATCATCATCATTACCATTGCTAAACTTCGCATGCTTCGTTAAATCTTTACCCTTTTTCTAGAATTTCGCCACAGTTTTATAAACTCCTTTTATCCTTTCACGGCAACGAAAGTGACTGTGTGAGTGAGTGTGAGTCTGTGAGAGCTCATTTAAACCCTTTTCTTTTTATTAAACCCTAAAACTATATTACTGTTGGCGAAGATGTGGATGATGGGTTACAATGACGGTGCCGAGTTCAACATGCCTGATTCCTTCAATGGTAGGAAGCTCAGGCCTTTAATCCCTCGGCCGATATCTTCTCCCAACAGCTCTCCTTGTCTTAACCGTATCAATGGCTCCGACTTTTTTGCACTGAATCATCACCTAAGTACGTTTTCTTCTTCTTCTTCTTCATGGTTTTCATGGTTATATATGCATGCTTGTGGTGCCAAATGTTGTATCGTTTTCTTTTCGTAGGCACGGGAGACCAAAACAAGAGGGAGATCAATACAAAGCCTGCAGTTGTGGTGAGCTCGAGGTGGAATCCAACGCCGGAGCAGCTAAGAACACTTGAAGAGCTTTACAGACGTGGCACTCGAACCCCATCGGCTGATCAAATTCAGCATATAACAGCGCAGCTCCGTAGATATGGTAAGATCGAAGGGAAGAATGTGTTCTATTGGTTCCAGAACCACAAGGCAAGGGAACGCCAAAAGCGGCGCCGGCAAATGGAATCAGCTCAAGATGAACACATACGCGAACCCGACTCGTTGGAACGAAAGGATTCAGGTACATTAACTAATCTTAAAAGAATTATGTTAAAGCTTATCCATTGGCAAATAGACAAGGCACATACATACAGTAATGTTCATCTTTTGCATATCATCTGCATGTGTATGATATGATGAATGGACTGTTGCTGCAACAATTTGTTTTGTTTTGATAAGTTAGGTTTACTTTCTTTTCCTTTTTGCATTCTTATTCCATTTGTTTGTTTGGAGAGAGTAAAGTTGAATTCTTTTTGGTTTTAGTTTATGTTTCTGCAGAATCGAATAGGACAGGTTATGAAGATGAACAGACAAAAAACTGGACACTCCCTAAAAACTGCAGTACACTAGCAGAGGTCTATATCTATCTCTCCACTCCATCCCCTTTCTTTTCTTTACCTTTTGCTTCCTTTTCTTCCCCCATAGTCAATGTAGACATGTCCATGCAACATTTTCATAAAAGCAATACTTATAATTACGTTATCTGGAACCCTAATCAGTTCTCAAAACCGGATATTATATTAACATGAGCGAGGATTAGAGTCAAGGCTTTATATGAATCTCTCTCTCTCTGTATATATATAATATCCGAAGGAAGAAGAAAAGGTCTTGAATTGTTGGGAAATGAAAAGGGCTTAAAAGCTGCATTCCTTCCTTCTGTCGGGGCTGCTGTTATCAAACGAGCTGGGTTTTTTTGGGTGCTGTGCTCGATATGCATTCATGGCATTCAGGCTATATATTGATTTGAGCACCACCGCTCCCTTCAAATCCATATATATATATATTGGCCAGGCTGACAGTGAAAAGACTTGGGCGCACCCCGATAGTACAATTTGTCATCTCATGAAGCCTATGTCAGCTTTGAACCATTTGTTCTTTGATTTGAATGGAATGTAAAAACATGTTTTCCTAATAAAAACAGAAGTGTCCCCAGACTTATGTCACCGTCTATACTGTTTTCTGATTGGTATTATCCGTGTTCTGGGAATACAATTCATTTACTTTCTTCTTAAAATGTATTCGTTATGTTTATATGTTCTGCAAATTATTTCGTAATGATTTGTCCATCGCCATAACAGATATTTATTATGTTATCATTTCAGGGATTATTATTAGATTAGTTTAAATTTTATATTTGTATTATGGTATTTATACTATTTACTGTCAACAGGAATCTGTAACAATACAAATGGCAGCAAAAGCAGCAGTGTCAGAGTGTAGGGCAGATGGATGGATCCAATTCGAGGAAGGGGAATTGCAGCAGAGGAGGAACTTTGTGGAAAGGAATGACACGTGGCAGCAGAACAGGGTGCAATTCCCTTACCCTCCTAGTCCTACTGCTAGCCCGGGTACTGGTCTTAGCTCCACTACGCCCACGGCAGCGATAAGCACTGCAACCACCGCCAACATAACCGTCTGCCAGATCAGACCAATGGACCCAAAGCACCACACGCATGATCTCAACGTCTTTAAATCCCCTTGCAGGCAAAATGCCAACGTGCTTGACCACTTTAGTTTTGCTATAAACCAGGAAGCTCTCGCCTCCGGGGACGACTCTCAAACCCTACAACTCTTCCCTCTTCGTTCCGATAACCCCAAGGAAAAGGAGAACGAGATATCGGTCACAACCGTCAACCTCGGTCCTAACTGCCAGTTTTTCGAATTCCTTCCGTTGCAGAACTAAAAACCAACGAAGACATCTTTTTTTTTAACTTAATTTGCTACGTAGGTAAAATTAAAAATGTCGGGTAATGGTTAGGTTAATGTAGTTATTTTTTGTTGTTGGAAATTGGGAACCGTGTTCTTTCGTTGTTGTGATGTTACATTTCATGGAATGGGTACAATTGGAAAATTGTGGGCTTATTTATGAAGGAAGGGTTGCCATAAAATGCATTTGGACCGTTTTTAAAGACCAAGACAACATTAGAAACAAAGTAATTAATGTTGACAGAATGATGGGCTGTCTTTGGTTCCCCCAATGAAAGGGTTCTGAAATTGATAGCTTTGTTTAGACTGTGATGATGTTGAAACATTTAAGGGACATGAAAATGGGAATTGGACAGGAATGACTTTGATGTTGAAGTGACTTTGATGTTGGTTGTAGTGAATATTTGTTCCTTTTATCACATATTTAGAATAGAGCTAATAAAATGAGATGGAAATATTAAAATTTAAATTCGAGTTATACATATAAAATTAAGAATAAATTATTTATTTGATAATCCACCTATTATTTAGTTTTTGTGTTTGTCATCTAATAATTATTTTTAAAAATTACACCTAACATTATGTGTTTTGATCATCGAACATTAAAATATGTAACAATGATATTGATATAATATTTTTTTTAATGCTAATGTGATATTATCAATTATAACATGTGAACACCGTTAATTACACTCGAATATAACACTTATGAGTTCACATATATGCTGAAATCCCATAAATATGCCTCTAACTATTCGAACTCATATCCCCAAACACAAAAAATTGGTCTCGGAAATGAAAACCAAATCTTGAGAGACCTATTTACTTCTAATGAAAATAATGTGGATTAATGCTCACACAACAAGAAGGATACAAGTAGTTAAAGTGAGGCGGGATCTTAGGCATATCTAAATGCAAAAAGGTAACTGACCCTACAAGGTCTACTTAGTTATAGCACCTAAACACAGTAGCCCAAAACCCTGAAACATAGCTCCATGTTCCACCTAAAACTAAACCCATAGCCTATAAGATGCTACCAATGTTTTCCAGCTCCATCGGGGATACAACACCCTCCAATTAATGTCTCTGAGCTAATAATAAACTGCATTCCGAATCAAAACAGCAATTCCAAGTGTTGTTCCAAGCCGAGAGAAAACCCTAAAAGCCTCTCGTTCTGCTTTTCTTTTTGTGCTTCCTCGTCAACGCCTCCGGCAGCGGCTGCAGGTGCTGCTCGGAATCTTTCAACCTCCCTCCCTCCAGCTTTTTGTGGAGCATGGAATCGATATTCAACGGCCAGTAATGGGACACATGCTTACCACTTGTCAAGAGAGATGGTAACTAACCTATTGCCTATAAATGACTAGGGTTTAAATCTTAAACAATCTTTCTTACAATAATCGAAAAGACTAGGAAAAGTAAAGCAAACAAGCTCGGAAACAAAGACACTGAAGTTTGTGTGAAAAACACTAAAAGCAACATCATAGATAAAGAAGAAAAATTCACTATAAATAACGAAATTACAAGGATTTTCGACTCAAAAACTTCACATGAATTCTAAAGTATCATCATACATAACCTTATCAATCCCTGTTATCTTTGTATAGGTTTAGTTAATTGATGATAAAAAATGTAATATTACAATAAGTCTTAGTTAATTAATATGAATTTTTACTTTCAGTGAAAATTTAATAGAAGAAATATAGTCTTGTATAGAAAGATGTGCGACAAGTTTCATACATTGGGGATAGAGCCTTCGTACCCTTGGTAAGACTCATTGGTTCCATCAAATTTTTCGAGTCAGATGAGAACAAAATTCATGTCATAAAATCTAATATTCTTTGTCCTATCACTTTATATTTTTTATCCACATGACTTGAAATATAATTTTTTTAACAAATGTTTAAAAACTTATCATCACTTCATAGGGTGGGTTGAGAAGTGTAGGAAGAGGGTGTTTTTCACGATATATATGACTTATATTCTATAATATTATCGATCATGTGTCGTTTAGACTATAATATTCTATAAGATTCAAAGGAAAAGCGTGATCCTTGTCCCGTGCTATACCCACGTGATGTCAAATCAATCTAAAACGCGCTTTAGAGAGAGCGTCATATCAACATAATGCTCTCTGTAGAAAGCGTGTCTTACTACAAAAGGTGATAGATCAAAAAAAATAATTTGAATAATATCTGATCGAAAATATTATAAGGTATAAGTGATATATCGGGAAAAACGCGGTAGGAAGAGAAGTGAAAAATGGAGGGGGAGTTCGTGGAGGGTTGAGAAATGGACAACACTTAAAAGTAAACAAGCAGTAGTACCTATCTACTCTGCTCTACTTAAACCTCTCTCACATATACATTATGCCATGTGATTCCATTTCTGTCTCAATTATCTCTACTACATATATCATGTGATCTCTTCTTTCCTGTATCATCAGCTCATCATTTCAACATCATCAAAGGTGAATCCCTCTCTCTCTTTCATCCTCTGACACAAAGTATAATTTAACAATTTTATAATTATCTCAACTTAAACTTTTAATATATGGCCCCACGAGTCTTTTCTTAATCCCGTCATTGAAGCCAACTCTATTTGGAACTAATTAGAAAACTAACACATAAAAACGAGGCCCCAACCTTAATTTTCAAGAATTTAGGCCTGAAATAGTCCCGGATGGTTTTTTTTTTCCAGTAGGGCAAAGTGTTTTATTAATTAACCATATAGGACATAAAAAAAGTTTATTTTGAGGTCTAAGATATTTGCTACCGTGTTTAAGAAACTCTTCAAGTCAAGGTGACGGGCTTGCTCAAATAATATTTTTTATTCAAATTCGTCGCGTCGAGGGCAAACAATTGCTGCTAGGGCAATTGAAAGCGAAGCAAATGGTGGCTTGCAAGAGCGCTTGCTTCGCTTTCAAGTCAAGGTGACGGGCTTGCAAGGGCAAATAAACTTGTATATGTTTAAATAAAAAAATATTTTTTAGAACTCATCATCTCAACGTGATGAATTCCAAATCAATGTAGCAAATGTAGTAGATCTTGAAATAAACTTGTATATGTTTTATTTAACTAATTAATTAAATTGTTTGCCCTATTGGGGGCAAAAAAAACCTCCGGGATGCCTCTTTAGCATGTGCACTTTGGGCTTGACCCAAAGTTCTCATCAGGCCGGTGATGCTAGACCAGTCCCTTCAGGTACCGAAGAACTGAAGTTTAGCTATGCATGACTAAGAAAAGTGGAAAATAGAAAGTCCTTGACTCAACTTTCAGGTAATTTAAGATTAGGTTGTATCTAACAAAGTAAAACTTTTTTTTTTAATTTGATAATAAATATAAATATTTCGGTAATTTAACCAAGAATCACTAATTGCATCGAAGTTCTCGAAATGAAGAACATCCAGCAAGCAGCAACTAATTTTTAAGTCCAAATTCCAATAAAAAGGAAACAAAGATATTTTTATTATGTGGACAGACTGACTTCTTCCAGCCCCGTTTTCCTATGCACTGTTTCTGTCCATTTGCATCAGACCTATAATGTGTTAATTAAGTGCTAACATTACTTACGTTCTAATACAACCCGAGGTCTTTGTTCTTTTCATTACAAGACAACCATTCCAGAGCAATATCTTTGTCTGATCGATGAGCAAACTCTAATATATATATATATCTTATATTTGTAAAAGTATCGAATTGAGTTTAGATTCTTAAGTTTCGGGTCGAGATCAAACTCAGATTTCTGAATTTTGGGTCGGAGCGGCTAAAAACCCGCTCGCTCTGTTACCCTAAATTATACTATATTGTATTAAATATTTTAAAAGTGCAGACATCAAATATGATATTATCCCGAAAGTTCAAATAACTACTGGTTGGCAAACCCCACTTTCGCTTAGTTTTGGCCTGAACAACCCACAGTGGTTTCTTTTTATCATTAAAAGGAACACCATAACCATAGTTAGTCCTTAATTGATGGTCGGGTTTTTTAGTTTCTTCTTTACTCAATTCAAATAACTTCCTGTCTTGTTTCTTGTCCCTTAACCCTGCTCCCTAAAGTTTCAGCCATGGCGACAATGCTGATATCTGTGTTAAATCTCACGCTTTCCGCTCTCCTCCTCTTCCACATTTCAGGTAACTAGATCACTTACATTGCTAGATTTTTCATTTGGTTTAAGCAAGCATGTCTTAGATTAAAGAGTTTCCTCTTTTGGCTGTTAACAGTTGAGGTGTCGGCGACAACATTAACACTCTACAACAAGTGTCAGCACCCAGTCTGGCCCGGGATCCAACCTAGCGCCGGAAAACCACTTCTAGCACGCGGCGGCTTCAAGCTTCCCCCGAACAAGGCCTACTCCATGAATCTACCTCCTCTCTGGTCAGGTCGCTTCTGGGGCCGCCACGGATGCTCCTTCGACGCCACCGGACGCGGGAGTTGCGCCACCGGGGACTGTGGCGGCTCATTGTACTGCAACGGCCTAGGCGGGACTCCTCCGGCAACTCTGGCCGAAATCACCCTCGGGATTGTTGGATCATAAACTTGATCCATTATGGGAGCCTAAACCCAAACCCAAACTAAATTGATGTCATTACTTACATCATTTAATTAAAGATGTCATTGCTTACATCATTTAATTAATGATGTCATTGCTTACATCAATTTAGTTAGGTGAGAGTTAGATATTTGTTGAATTTGTAATGGTTTAAATTAGTTTATTTGTGTGGTGTAGGATTGTTCTTGAGTAGTATAAATACCCCTTCCCATTTTAGTTTTAAGCATCAAGAAAAATTAAGAGCTTCTAAGTGAGTGAAGAAGCAAAGTCTTATAAGAGTGAGTTGTAGTTCTTGTTTTTGAGTGAGAGTACTCTTGTAATATTTGTTTGAGTTTCAATAAAAGTTGTTTGTGTGAGTGTTTTATTTCCAACAAAGTGGCATCAGAGAGAGTTGGAAAGATCGAAGGTCTCGACGAGAGGAATACGACGCCGCCAGAATTTTCTCAATCTGAGTTCTGACGCACCGCCACGCACCGCCGGAAGACTGCTGCCAGAAAATCGAGTTGACTCACCGAGTTGAGCCGATTCAGCCGAGTTGGAGCCCTTGACCGAGTTGTCCAAGTCCCTCCAAAGTTTTTTTTTTCATCGTTTCGGATTCATCCGTGCAATCGGATTTTACAAAATCTCATTATATTGAGAGATATGGCAAATGGTATGGCACCATTCCAAGTTCCGACACTCAACAACAACAACTACGACAATTGGAGTATCAAAATGAAGGCACTTCTTGGATCACAAGATGTGTGGGATATCATAGAGAAAGGCTATAATGAGCCTGCGGATGATGATATTTTTGCTACTCTTACACCAGATCAAAAGACAACTTTGAAGGATTCAAGAAAGAGAGACAAGAAGGCTCTCTACCTCATCTATCAAGCATTAGATGATGATGGTTTTGAAAAGATTTCAAGTGCAAGCTCTAGCAAGGAAGCGTGGGAGAAGCTGCAAACCTCTTACAAAGGATCCGAGCAAGTGAAGAAGGTTCGTCTCCAAACATTAAGAGGTGAATTCGAATCCTTAAACATGAAAGCATCTGAGTCTATTTCAGATTATTTCTCAAGAGTAGTAGCTGTTTCTAATCAATTAAAAAGAAATGGTGAAAAGTTAGACGATGTGAGGATAATAGAGAAGATACTCCGTTCGTTGGATCCCAAATTTGAGCACATCGTCGTGACGATTGAAGAAACTAAAGACTTGGAAGAAATGAAGATCGAACAGCTCCAAGGATCATTGCAAGCATACGAAGAGAAGCATAAAAAGAAGCATGAGTTTACTGAGCAACTCCTCAAGCTGCAACTCAAGGATATGCATGAGAGCCAACGCAATGATAGAAACCAACGTGGCCAAGGCAGAGGTAGAGGCCATGGACGAGGTGGAAGTCGAGGTCGTGGACGAGGCTGGAATTACAACAATAACAATTCCAACAACAACTATGAGAAAGGAGAAAGCTCAACACGAGGCCGTGGAAGAATTAATCCAAACTCAAAGTATGACAAATCTCAAATTCGATGTTATAATTGTCAAAAATTTGGGCATTATGCTTCAGAATGTAGAGCTCCCAACAACAAAATTGAGGAGAAGGCCAATTACGTGGAGGAAAAGACAGATGGCAAAGAAACTCTTCTTCTAGCACGAAAGGAAACTGATGGTGTCCAAGCAAATTCCTGGTATCTTGACAGTGGTGCAAGCAATCACATGTGTGGAAGGAAAGACATGTTTGTGGAGCTAGACGAGTCAGTAAGTGGAAATGTTTCGTTTGGAGATGATTCCACAATAGCAGTGAAAGGGAGAGGTAACATTCTTATCCGTTTGAAAGATGGGAGACATCAATTTATTTCAAATGTCTACTATGTGCCCAATATGAAAAGTAACATTTTAAGTTTAGGGCAACTGGTAGAGAAAGGTTATGATATTCATATGAATAATTATAATCTTTCTATAAAAGATGATAAGAATAACTTCATTGCTAAAGTGCCGATGTCAAAGAATAGAATGTTCTTGATCAACATACAAAATGATGTTGCAAAGTGCCTGAAAGCTTGCTACAAAGATGCATCATGGCTTTGGCATCTTCGATTTGGGCATCTCAATTTTGGAGGTCTAGAGCTATTATCTAAGAAGGAGATGGTGAAAGGACTACCTCACATCAACCATCCTGACCAACTCTGTGAAGGGTGTCTAGTCGGGAAACAATTCAGGAAAAGCTTTCCAAAGGAGTCAGAGACAAGAGCTAAGAAGCCACTTGAGCTCATCCATACCGATGTGTGTGGACCGATCAAGCCAAGCTCTCTCGGTAACAATAACTATTTTCTTCTCTTCATTGATGATTTTTCAAGAAAAACCTGGGTATATTTCTTGAAACAGAAGTCAGAAGTTTTTGAAGTCTTCAAGAAGTTCAAAGCAGCAGTGGAGAAAGAAAGCGGTAGAAATATCAAAGCCATGAGATCCGATCGAGGTGGAGAATTTACTTCCAGGGAGTTTCAAGAGTTCTGTGAAGCAAATGGAATTCGTCGACCAATGACAGTTCCTAGATCCCCCCAGCAAAATGGTGTGGCAGAAAGAAAGAATAGAACAATCCTCGACATGGCACGAAGCATGCTCAAAAGCAAGAAACTACCCAAAGAATTTTGGGCGGAAGCAGTATCGTGTGCAGTCTACTTGTCAAATCGATCTCCAACAAGAAGTGTATGGGGAAAGACACCGCAAGAGGCATGGAGTGGAAGAAAGCCTGGCATTTCCCACTTGAGAACCTTTGGAAGTATAGCCCATGTTCACGTACCAGACGAGAGAAGAACGAAGCTTGATGATAAAAGCGAGAGTTTTATCTTCATCGGCTATGATGCTAATTCGAAGGGCTACAAGTTGTACAATCCAGACAATAAGAAGTTTGTGATTAGTCGAGATGTGGTCTTCAACGAAGAAGGAGAATGGGATTTTAACTCTCATACAGATGACTTCAATTTCTTTCCTCAGTTTGAAGAAGATGAGCAGACAATGAGGGAGCAACTAGATGAATCTCAACAAGAGCTTGCAACTCCACCCACTTCACCAACATCAACCACTCAAGGAGACTCGTCACCTTCATCATCGTCAAGTGGGAGTCAAAGTGAAAGAGTTGTGCAACGCACAAGAAGCCTTAGAGATCTCTATGAGGTAACTGAACGACAAGATAATCTTACATTATTTTGTCTGTTTGCCGATTGTGAACCAGTGAGCTTTCAAGAAGCGGTACAAGAAAAGAAATGGAGAGATGCGATGGACGAAGAAATCAAGGCCATCGAGAAGAATGACACATGGGAACTTACCTCACTTCCCAAGGGACATAAGGCGATAGGTGTCAAATGGGTGTACAAAACAAAGCAAAACGCCAAAGGAGAGATTGAAAGGCACAAGGCGAGGCTAGTTGCTAAAGGCTATAGTCAAAAGGCTGGAATTGACTATGATGAGGTATTTGCTCCTGTTGCTCGATTGGAGACTATCAGACTAATCATTTCTTTGGCAGCTCAAACAAGTGGAAGATACAACAGATGGATGTAAAGTCCGCCTTCCTAAATGGAGTTCTTGAAGAGGAACTTTACATTCAGCAACCATCAGGCTATGAAGTCAAAGGGCATGAAGACAAGGTGTTGAAGTTGAAGAAGGCTCTTTACGGGCTAAAACAAGCACCAAGGGCATGGAATAGCCGAATCGACAAGTACTTCCAAGAGAATGGCTTCAACAAATGTCCCTACGAGCATGCTCTATATATCAAGATCAAAGATGAAGATATTTTGATCGTGTGCCTCTACGTGGACGATTTGATCTTCACTGGAAGCAACCCAAGCATGTTTAATGAATTCAAGGATGTGATGATGAAAGAATTCGAGATGACAGACATGGGGCTCATGGCGTACTACCTTGGCATTGAAGTTAAGCAACAAAATGATGGAATTTTCATTTCACAGGAAAGCTATGCAAAGGAGATACTGAAGAAGTTCAAGATGGAGAACTGTAAGCCAATAAGCACACCGGCAGAATACGGGATCAAGATGACCAAACATGAAGAAGGCGAAAGTGTAGATCCAACATTCTTCAAAAGTTTGGTAGGAAGTCTACGCTATCTAACTTGCACGAGACCCGATATCTTCACGCAGTTGGATTGGTTAGTCGCTACATGGAATCCCCAACAACCACCCATTTTAAAGCCGCAAAGAGAATTCTTCGCTATCTGAAAGGTACAATTGACTTTGGCTTGTTCTATTCAGTTTCTAATGATTACAAGCTTGTTGGATATAGCGACAGTGATTGGGGTGGAGACATAGATAATCGAAGGAGCACTACTGGATTCGTATTTTTCATGGGAGATATTGCATTCACATGGATGTCAAAGAAACAACCGATTGTCACATTATCCACTTGTGAAGCGGAATATGTTGCTGCTACCTCATGTGTTTGTCATGCAATTTGGCTTAGAAATCTATTGAAGGAGATTGGTTTGATACAAGAAGAGCCTACCAAGGTTTGTGTCGACAACAAGTCAGCCATTGCCTTAGCAAAGAATCCAGTATTCCATGATCGAAGCAAGCACATTGATATTCGCTACCACTATATAAGGGAGTGTGTTGCAAGAAAAGATGTGGAAGTTGAATATGTGAAGTCACAAGATCAAGTTGCTGATATTTTTACCAAGCCACTGACCAGCGAAGACTTCTTAAGATTAAGGAACCTACTAGGGGTCACGAGATCAAGTTTAAGGGAGGGTGTTGGATCATAAACTTGATCCATTATGGGAGCCTAAACCCAAACCCAAACTAAATTGATGTCATTACTTACATCATTTAATTAAAGATGTCATTGCTTACATCATTTAATTAATGATGTCATTGCTTACATCAATTTAGTTAGGTGAGAGTTAGATATTTGTTGAATTTGTAATGGTTTAAATTAGTTTATTTGTGTGGTGTAGGATTGTTCTTGAGTAGTATAAATACCCCTTCCCATTTTAGTTTTAAGCATCAAGAAAAATTAAGAGCTTCTAAGTGAGTGAAGAAGCAAAGTCTTATAAGAGTGAGTTGTAGTTCTTGTTTTTGAGTGAGAGTACTCTTGTAATATTTGTTTGAGTTTCAATAAAAGTTGTTTGTGTGAGTGTTTTATTTCCAACAGGGATGCAACAAGATTTTTACGACGTCAGCCTGGTGGACGGCTACAACATAGCCATGTCGATAACTCCTTCCAAAGGCACCGGCAAATGCAGCTACGCGGGGTGCGTCAGCGACTTGAACTTGATGTGCCCGATGGCTTTACAAGTGAGGGGGAGGGATAACAAGCGAGTGGTGGCTTGCAAGAGCGCTTGCTTCGCTTTCAATTCTCCCAGGTATTGCTGCACCGGAAGCTTTGGGAGCCCCCAGTCTTGCAAGCCGACCGTGTATTCCAGGATTTTCAAGACTGCTTGCCCCAAAGCTTATTCTTATGCTTACGATGATCCCACCAGCATTGCTACTTGCTCACGGGGCAACTATTTGGTCACTTTCTGCCCTCACCGTCGCTAGAGTTGTAGTCTAATCACCATAAAATTCGGTTGTTATTCTGCTTCGTGTATTGTTCTCTAGTGGACCTATTATCATATCGTGTGGTGAAAATCTTTTGCTTTGATCTGCATAGCTTAACTAGAGCATGAGACTTTTGAGTTGAGAATCTTGATTGTGTTTACCGTTTGGGAGTGGGGACTAGAGGACCTACTCTTTGTTTTAGATCCATGGATGGATCAAGTAAAAGTTTACATGGGTAACACTAGGCTTTAGAAACGTTTAAGAATGCTACCAATAATGAGTCTTGTCTAGGCCGATTGAGTTTTCTCATTTTGAGTTCCGGTCATTTGAGTTCTTCCTTAGACATTAAAAGATGTCAAATTATCTATTTTTTTTAAAAAAAAGAGACCTATTAATTATTTAAAGGGTAAATTATGCGTTTAGTATTTAAACTATCAGTTTTGATCTGTTTAGTACCTAAACTTTTATTTTTTTTCTTCTGAAATCATATATAAAGTTTAGTTTTTGTTTCATTTTAATATCGTTGTTAAAATTTTATCGTTAATTTTTGAAAAAAGTGAAAGTTTAGTATTAAAATAGACAAAAACTAATAATTTAAGTACTAAACGTCATAAGATTTTAACGATGGGGTATTAAAGTGAAACAAAAACTTAATGTTAGGCATAATTTCGTAAAAAAAATTGAAAATTTAGGTACTAAAACATACTAAAATTGATATTTTAGTTACTAAATGCGTAGTTTACCCATATTTAAATTTAAATTATTGGAAACTAAGATGTAATTTAACCAATATTGTTATTTTTAGGGACCTTAATTGCTATTGGACCAAAAATCTTAGGGGCCAGGACTCTAAATTCCATATAATTTTGTAACCATCTAGATAAACTTAGCTATGTGTAATCCATGTCTTCCCCAATTTTTATGCTATAATTGCTTATTAGGTCTTGAAAATTTTGAAGTTAGAGAATAAGTTCTATTTATCGTATTTTTTTGGATTCAATTGTTTTTTAACGTATTTTAAGTTTTGATACTATCTGCATAGACTTATCCATGTATAATGTAGAAAGGCCCTGCATTCCCCAATTTTTGGACCTCACCCACGACTAGGTCGACAACCACGCCTAGCACTCATCTCGGAAAACCTCGAGTTCACTACAGAAGGATAAAGCCTAGGATTAGTTTGGCACTTAGAGTCCCGCACACAATTAAACTCATAAAAACTTGGTAACATGACATTCGTAACTTATTTTGTAAAAACATTTTAAAATCGTATTTTTAGTTTGGACCCATTCATAGTTCAAGGTTTTAAAAATCAAAAGCTCTGATACCAACTAAATGTAACCCCCTAAACCTGTCCTATATATTACAACTAGATCTAGCAGAATAAAAATAAAATTTTCCAAAACATTTTTCAATAATTTAAAACCATATTACAGATAAACTTCTTTAAAAACATAGTTATTAATACTAAAGTTCAATTCCAGTAAACTAAAGTCGTAAGGACTGAGAAAAAGATAAAATATTCCAAAATCAGTAACGAAGTAAACCTAACATAAATATCAAAAGAAATATAAGTCGTAAAACAAATGCTTTCAAAATATATAGGCACATGTCACCCAACATAACGACATATCGAAAGATAAAAACATTACATCAAAATACTACTGTACGAATGTGTCGATCCTCCAAGTGTCATGTTCGGGATGCCTATGAAAAAATATATGAAAGAGAAAAGTTTGGGGAAGTGAGCTACGGAGCTCAGTGTGATCCAACAGTATAGAAATAAAACATATAGTTGAGTTTCCAAAATCATTTGAGTTCTAAGTTGTGAAAACAACAATAGTATTTTTTAGCTTAAAATACAAAATCGCCCTCCAACTGAACATCATATGCAGTTCCCCAGAACTGCATTCATAAGGACTTACCCTAGGCTCAAAGGGCGTTGGTGCCAACCTAATAGAACACATTGGGTTCATAAGGTTTTACCCTAGCCGAAGCATATGTGCCCACCTAAGGGGTGTACCCTCAAGCCCATAAGGACTTACCCAATGCACATCGTAGAGGTGTCACCCTAAGGGGGTACCTTAGGGTCCATAAGGTCTTACCATTAGGCCCATTGGGCCTAGGAGCTCACCCAAGGGTCGCCTTAGGTCTACAAGGAATTACCATCTCGATCGGTCTGAACCTATATAAGGAATTACCAGTTTGACCGAAGTTAAATCTGTAGAGATTTCATACTAGAACCCATAGTACCCCGAAGAAAAAATATTTTTCAGACAGTAACCAGTGGTAGCAGGAAATCAAAGTCCAAACATACTTATTTATCAATAAAAACAGTAACCAGAGAACATGTGTTAAACAAACATGATTTAAAATACTGTAAATCATGAATCATACTTAAATCAAATAAGTCACACGGTAGTCAAATCAGAGCAAATAATTCATTTCAAATCAGAGAAAATAATCATGTGTACGTGGTATTTCAAACAGATATTTAAAACGATTATATGGCACATAAGGAACACACCTCACAAAAAGAATTGGTCCGATAAATCTATCAAACACTAGCTTCACTACGCTCTTCTATTGTATGCGAACCTGGGTTATATCAAAATAGAGTTATAATCGGAATAATATTATAAACTAAGTATCTAACATGATTACAAAACTATACGAGTAATCACAGGTTGGTGCTGATGGACAGATCAGGATAAATCAGGTCTAGCAAGCGAACAGTCAGGAGATCCACAAGTACCTTAAATATACGACATCATCATAAATTGATCAGTTATTGACCTTGAATTAAATGAACTTAATTAAATTGCTTAAGTTACATATGCATATTTGAGTTTAATGGTCAATTTTGAGGCTTTTAGGTTTGAATTTGATAAAGCATACTTCAGATTCAGACTCAGAACGTTAAAACATAAAATATGACTTTTTGAAAAATTTGACTTTTTGGTCAAAGTCAAGGGTCAACGTTAATGTCAACAGACATGTTAACGGCATGTCAAATCCAACGGTTCAAGTCAAGGTCAACGTATCAGACCGTTTCAGGTTGACTCAGATCGATTCAAACCGGTTTGGTCCACCTATACCATTTCTAAAAGGTTTTGGGGTGAGAATGAGCCCTGCGCATATGCGGCGGTGCATGTGGCGACGACGACAAGGTCGGGGGTGGCTACCAAGCACTCCGGGAGCATCTAAACACCAACAACAACCCAAAACAACACATTTTAACCCAAACCACGAGGAAAAGTAATTGAATCAAGTGATCAGAAGCTTACCTACGGTGGTCGACCTGAACGTTGATGGTAGACGATGAACCTGGTCGGGTTTTGGGTGTACAGAGACGAGGAGTTCGACTGTGGTGGCGGTTAAACGAGCCGATGAGCGACGCGACTGGAATCAAAGAATAACATAGCGGCGACGTGAGGGTTTCGACGGACTTCGGTGAGCTCCCCACTACAAATGGCGGGAGCTAGCACCGATCATCCATAAGGGTTTTGGTTGGACGACAATGACGCTTCGAATGAGGTCGACGGCGACGAAAATCAATGATCGACGAACGAAATCAGTGGTAGGGCAAGTTGAACCGCTTCATTACTTCGTTGTGATAAACGACGATCGCTACGGGTAAATCAAGGGCCAAAATCGGGTTAGAGGATGTTACCGGTGCTGCTGGCGGTGACGGCGCACACCGACGATGACCGAAACATGGAGAATCTTCTGGGAAAACTTGAGGAACAAGGGGTTGTCTCGAGTTTCACAAATGGGGGGTTTTGATTTTGGGTTTTTGAGTTATATATCCCAAACCAAAAGTATTATAAATTATATTTATTAAATTAATTAAAAACCCAAGCCGGTTGATAGGGTGATTGCTGGCTATAACCTAGGTCATGGGTCCAAGTTTGAGGAAGTGAGTTAGGGAGCTCAATGTGATCCAACAATGCATAAATAAAACATATAGTTGAGTTTCCAAAATCAATTCAGTTCCAAGTTGTGAAAATATATGTAGCATTTTTTAGCTTAAAATACAAAATCTTCCTCCAACCGATCACCATATGCAGTTCCCTAGAACTGCATTCATAATGACTTATCCTAGGCCCAAAGGGCGTTGGTGCCAACCAATTGGGTCCATAAGGTCTTACCCTAGCCGAAGCATATGTGCCCACCTGAGGGGTGTACCCTCAAGCCCATAAGGACTTACCCAATGCACATAGCAGAGGTGCCACCCTAATTGGACACCTTAGGGTCCATAAGGTCTTACCACTAGGCCCATTGGATCTAGGAGCCCACCTAAGGGTTGCCTTAGGTCCATAAGGAATTACCAGCTCGATCGGTCTAAACCTATATAAGGAATTACCAGTTTGATCGAAGATGAACCTAATTAATTAAATTGTTTGCCTTATATTAGGCTGCCGTACAGCAAAACTACCAAGTTTTGGTGCATGGTGGTCACTATCATATTAGAAATGATTTGTATCAATCATTTTGGTTGTGAATTCATGTGAGATAATTTAACTTCTAATATTTGTTTTGTGTTGGGTTTAAATATGAGATTTAAATATTTTATAAACAATATTATTCAAATTAAAATCCTTTAGAGATAACGTATAAAGAAATTAGAACCATTCCTTGATTCAATATTTTTAACAATTCATTTAGTAAGCTGGTTTGATTCCTGACCATAAAATGGAGAAGATGTATGAGATAAGTAATGTAGAGAAGAAAGGAAAGGCAAAAGGGATGGACCTGGGGAGTGTTGGGAGGTGCAATCATACCCTTTAAAATTTTTAAATTTCCTTATATTTTAGATTTTATCTTTATACTTTCTATTTATTATCTAATTTCATACCCTTAAAATTTTATGACTTCACATCTCCATAAAAATTTCAATATAGTAACTTCTTAAATTCTCACCCTAATATAAATTTCTCTAGAAGGCACAATCTTGTTAGTGTGTGGGGGCCATAGGATAGTGTGAAGGACATTATGGAGCATGCCACCCAAATGTTTGTCCCCTCAAATCATTGGGCATTGGCGCATGCATATCAAAAGGTGAAGGTCTAGCCTCTTTATTTGTGGACAAACCAATTGGTCTGGCACTTCCTATAGACTTATAATCCATACATACACAATTTTACCATTGAATCAAAAGCCCCGTAAATGAATTAATTTATGGGAAAATTATAAATTTAGTAGTTGAACTTTACTCTCTCATATTTTGTTCATTGTGCTTTAAATCATTTCAATTTACTCACTGAACTTAATATACACAGAGATTTTTGGTCACTTGCTCGTTAAATAGTTAACAACGTTAAAATGAGCTGTTATATAAATGTAAAACAATGTTGTTTTGGTGAAATTTTTTAAATGATATCGTTTTTAACGCCCTTAAATAGTTAACGGCGGAATGATCAAAATAAGAGAGTAAAATTCAATGACAAAAAAAATCTAATGTATTATATTTAGTAAGGAAATTGAAAACTTTTAAAATTTAATGAGCAAAATAGGAGAGAAAATAAAATTCAATGATAAAATTGAAAACTCGTCATTTCTGTAAACTGACCAACCTCAGTCGAGTTGGCACTTTAATCAAAACTCAGTTGAGTCGATTACTCGACTCAAAGGCATGAAGCTAGGAGTTGATTACTCGAAGCTTACTATAGGAGTTGAATTCGCTTACCGGAATGTTAAGATGGGTGACAAAATAATCAAAGCTCAAATATGAGAGACAACCTGCCAAGAAAGGTATTGCTTTTACCTTGTTTCTCAATTTCTGCAGATGAGTTTTTCCTTCAAACCTTTTGATTCCTTGCTTAAGCTATAATTATTGTATTAAGCATGTCGATGGGCTGGTTTAGATTTGACTCGCTAGAATTCAGCCAAAGCAGGACTTGTCTGAACTCACTGACTCTGTTAACTTGTGAGTTAGCTGATTTTCATGCATCTGTATGAACTTGTGAGCTAACTGGATCAGGGAAACCATATAAACATATCTCCCCAGCTACATGATGATGTAGTTGCCTGAACAATGCTTTTTTCCCAGCAGGTTTAGAGCCATTACAAGTTCATACGACCGGGGAGCATTAGGAGCAGTGTCAGTGAATGCGATAAATTCTAGTACCATTAATAATAAACTGATAGGATGATACAGCACCGAGAGTCATCATCAAGAGGCTCCGCTCATCCATTTGCAACTTATATCAATAGTTTTCAAACCAAGAACCACTACTAGCCCACAACAACTCTTGTTGAACAATTTTTTTAAAAGAACGAAAGCGAGAGCTATATATTAATAATTTTTGAATAATTTAGAGTGATTAAACTATATCTTAAAAGACTAGATCCATTTGTCGCTCCCTAATGCTAATCACATCAATTATACAAAATGGGAAAGTGTATAGATTTCACTTTCGGCGTCATGGCGGAAACGTGCACTCAAGCCCTAACCCAATTTGCGGCTGTTTGCAACCACACAATTGCTTACACCTTCCCCAACTCGCTTTCACTTAACATTTTTACTGTTTTTTTAAACGCAGCTGTATTGTTAGAGTGATGTTCTCGCAAAGTAATTATTATTAGGGCACTACTAAATCTACCAACCTTTACTAAACATGCCAGTCAAACAATAAAAAATTATTTAAACAATAAAAGAATTGATTTTGTTGGTTTTGTGTTTGTATTGTGGGGGTGCAAGAGTGGGGTCATGTCGGCGGAAAAGGACAAGCAGATGGTGAGCATAGATTCTCCATCACCTATGATATTTAGAGTTTCACATGAAATATAATATTTAAATTTTAAAAACATAAAATAATATTTAACAGTTAATCAATCATTTTTTTAAATAGTTAACCAACTGTAAATAGGGGTCGTCAATTTATCGGTTCGGTTAATTAATTAAATCAAATTTTTAAAATTTTATTAATTGATTTTTTTGTTTTAACAGTTAATCAATCAATTTTTTTGAAAATAATTAACCAACCAATTAACTAATTTTTTTTATTCGATCAATTAACGGTTAATGATTTTTTCAAAGTTTAATTATTGGTTATTACGGTTCGAAATCATTTAATTAACCAAATTAACTGAAAAATTTAAATATTTAATATATTATTTGTAGTTTTAGGAGTATTTAAATTTCAGTTTTAACCCAATTGATCGACTAAATTAATCGATCTAATTAACCGAATTAGTAAAAAATATTAAATATTTAATATATAATATATATTATTTAAAATTTCAGTTAATTCTATTAACCGACCGATTAACTAAAATTTGTTCGATTCAATTAATTATTTTCAAAAAAATTTGATTTGATTAACTGTTAAAAAAAATCAATTAATAAAATTTTGAAAATTTTATTTAGTTAACCGATAAATTGATGACCCCTATTTACGGTATGAAAAGGGTAAAAATGGTTAACGTGGAGAAGAGGGTTAAAGAGGGTGGAGTGTCAAAGAGCTGGAGTTCACACGTGACAGTGAGCAGTGACACTAATGCTTTTCGGTGTTTCCAATAACCTCAACTGTCATTTTTTGTCTAGTTGTGTGGGTGTTTGCGTTGGAAAAAAGAAATGTGGTGGGTTCCAACATGTTCTAATTTTTTTATTATTTAACTTGGTATGTTTAGTAATATCTTTGGTATATTTAGACACACCCTTATTATTATTCTTTAAATATTTGAATTTTATTATTATAAATATTATAAGTGTGAGAGTTTAATATTAAAAGATTAATTTTTTAAAATAAATATTATATTGTAATTATCACGAATTAATAAAAAAACTGTATTGTTTTCAATTCAGTGCAAACTGGCAAGTAGCTGTAATCGTGTATGCAAACCCCAGCAAGCAACGTCGGTTATCCGCGTCGGCTTCGTTTAAGCCACCTATTTCACCCCAAGCAACTGTGTGTGTTTTTACATTCAATCATAATTAATACACTCATGGAATTGTAATTAACAATATGTAGTCTTATCCGAATTCATAATAAATATATTAAATATAAGAAATTTGTAAAAATGAGAAAGTTCAATCATGGACTATAAAAATAGAAAAAAAAATTCAACTTAGTTTGGGGTTTCAGGAGATGATAAATAGAAGAGAAAAGGGGGGGGGGAACTGGAAACCGGAAATGCTGGAATTGGTTGGCAGGGAATCCAAGTAAAATAAAGGAGTAAATGGGGGGAAGTGGAACTCTCGTGGACGGTGTTCGTCGCTGGTTTCAACGTCGCAATTTAATTCCGTCTTCTTCTTCTTCTTCTACGGATCATCAGAATACCGTTATCATCGATTACAATGATAGCTCTTCCTCTACTCTAACTCTCACTGACAAACAACAATCACAAGAAACAATAACAGCAACCGATCTTATTGTTCAAGATTTCGATTTCTCTTCCTTGGGGCTCGTCAAAGTTCCTAAGCGTCATTACTTTGTTAATTCTTCCATGGATTCTCACAAAAAGGTATTTTCCTTTTTTTTTTCTTCCAGATCTCGTCTGCTTTCATTGCGGAGAGATTTTTGTTAATGTGAAACTGGAAATTACGGATAAAATTTTCATTTAAGGACTCTGTAATGAATCATTTAGGAGTGCTCTAAAATTTAGACCAAATTTGCCTGCTCGAAAACCTTCAAAGAAAGGGTGAGTTTCATTTAATTTTCTTAATAAAAAAGATTACTTTGTTTTACGATGGTTTAATTGATAGATAAACATGGATTTATTTGATTGAATGATGTTCTATGAGTGCTGCGATCTTCTTATATCTTTTCTCTTGTTACTGCATTAAGATGAGTCAAAGTTTAGAAGATTATTTTGCTCGCTAATTTAGTGCTAAAGGATCGCAAGTGTCGTTGCTTATTTGTTTATCCATATAAACTTCTTACTAAATGACCCGTTAATCCGTTATTCCTTTTTACATCTATGTTGGAATTTGTAGCTAAATAGCTTTCTCTGTATTTACTTTATTCTTTCGTACTCTACCATTTCAAAGATGCTATGATTCTCTTTATACTTTTAGCAGGCAAGCATTGTTCTATTATTCTAAAATTTGGAAACCAAGTCCATTGTTGTAGGTTGTCAATCTTCTAGTCAAAGCTGAATTTTGTTTCAGATGGAGAAGTAAGGGATAATATCCCTTTTAATATTGTATGTACGCTTATATTTTATTTATAGTAGCTGCTGAGAGGTATGAAGAGAACAAATTTCTTTTCATTTTGGAAGCATGATAGAAATTGTTATTGAGAAGCTGCATTTGCGAACCTGGAGTTTCTATTGACTGTGTTTAGGTAGATTTTTTTTCACCTTAGCTACCATGCACTGTTAAGCCTCATTTCTTTTGGTTTTATAGTAGCGAGTAGTGTCTGCCAATGATAGTATAATACAAGTATAAAGTATTCATTTTCAATACATGCATCTCCTGTACACCTTCTGGCTTTTGTCCTTCTCTCCAGTTATGAGTTTTGATGTTTCTAAACAATGGTGCTATACAGGGTGCACTTGAGAAAGAGTTTTTCACTGAGTACGGAGACGCAAACCGATATCAAGTTCAGGAGGTCATTGGAAAGGGAAGTTACGGGGTTGTTGCTTCTGCAATCGACACCCATACTGGTGAAAAGGTTGCAATAAAAAAGATTAACGAAGTATTTGAGCATGTCTCCGATGCAACGCGTATTTTGAGAGAAATCAAGCTGCTACGGTTGCTTCGTCATCCAGATGTTGTACAAATAAAACACATTATGCTCCCTCCATCGCGACTAGAATTTAGAGATATTTATGTAATTTTTGAGTTGATGGAATCTGATCTTCATCAAGTAATTAAGGCCAATGATGACTTTACTCCTGAGCACCATCAATTTTTCTTATACCAGCTTCTTCGTGGTCTGAAGTATGTACATGCAGGTCTGTTCTTCTCAGTATTGTTTCCTACTCTCACACCTTGGATTTGTATTTGATTTTTATTCTAAAACTTTCTGCAGCAAATGTATTACATCGAGATTTAAAACCCAAGAACATCCTTGCTAATGCTGATTGTATGTTGAAGATATGCGATTTTGGTCTTGCACGAGTATCATTTAATGATGCCCCATCAGCGATTTTCTGGACTGTATGTTGTTCTGTCACGAAATCTTATTCTTGAAGTGTCTGGATTCATGCTTCCGTAGTACTTGTCAAACACTTAAATTTTTCTTTAAATTTTATTTTCCACGTTACAGAGGGTAAGCCTCTAAAACTCTTATTCTAAATTAAACTTGTTTCATCCATTAAGGACTATGTAGCAACAAGATGGTATCGAGCTCCTGAACTCTGTGGATCTTTTTTCTCCAAAGTAAGTTTTGATGATCTTCTATATACTAAACTTTTTGTTTTTTTCTTCTGTTTTCAGTTGCTTAGATGGCTCCAATTATAGATATAGATGTTTCTGTTTTGATTACCTAGACATTAAATATGGATTTATTCCTTGAATGCATTTATCCCACTGGTCTTCCCCCTTATAATCTGTTTTTTCGTTTGAACTTTGGATTAAAGAAAGTGAAAGTCGCATCAGGATGCTTCTTTCTGATGGATAAGGAATTTCCTTTAACATACTTTGTGCACATACATACCTATTCACTGTAATTTGATGTTATCTCTTGAGTAGTGTTCTTGAAAATTAGTTAAAGGCTAAAATAATAAAAAGGATCCTCACTTTATCACTTTACCTAGATAACCCCATATACTTTTATTACATTCAAATGAGTCATGGAATCGAGAATGTTAGCACCTAACCTAGGAGGCTAAAGATACTGAACGTTTGTGTCTTTACTTCCAAAGTATTCATGGATGTAGTTTTTCTGCCATGTCTGTTATCATGAATATTTACCCACTTTCATTGTTATTAGTGCATGTGTCGATTATCTTCATCATTTTTTGCTGTTGTGAGTCTTGGTGAGAAAGGGGTGGGTCAATAATATTTACATCTTTCGGACATGAGATCCGATATTTCATTTGCCTTTTGATGTATAGTATTCCTATAAAATATTTTTAATAGGCTATAAATGGAATTTCTGAATCTTTCGTTCTTCTGCAGTACACTCCTGCAGTTGATATTTGGAGCATAGGATGCATATTTGCCGAGATGCTTATAGGAAAACCACTCTTTCCTGGGAAAAATGTGGTGCACCAATTGGATCTCATGACTGATATGCTTGGTATACCTTCTGCTGAATCCATATCAAAGGTTTATTTTTTTCCCTCAATATTCAGCTGTATTTTGCATTTGACACTCTTTTCTAGCTTCCTCATAGTCTTTGAGGCTCTGGAGATTAAATACCGACTAACTCATCAATACTTTAATTATCATGACCTGGCAGATTCGGAATGAAAAGGCAAGGAGGTACCTTAGTAGCATGCGTAGAAAGCATCCGGTTCCTTTCTCACAAAAATTCCCCAATGCAGATCCCCTGGCTCTTTGCTTACTTCAGCGTCTACTTGCATTTGATCCTAAAGATCGTGTTACGGCAGAAGAAGTAAGATTGCAATCTGTTATTTAGTACCCCTCCCAAAAAAATATATAAATGTGTGTGCGCGTGTATTCGGAAAGGATTAAAGTCAATTGAATGAAGGGATGATCTGTAATGCTACTTCTTTTATCTAAAGTTCTGTTGGCTTGATTTCATCAAAGATATGGCAATACTTCTCACCACCGACACCAAATCTAGTATAGATGATTAAAACAAGTCAGATCTTGACTTACAAGCTTCTGATAATCCTTAATGCTTATGCACTATGCTTGCAGGCATTAGCTGATCCATATTTTCATGGTTTGGCAAATGTGGATCGTGAACCAACCACCCAACCTATTTCAAAACTAGAATTTGAGTTTGAGAGAAGGAAACTGGCAAAAGATGATGTCAGAGAGCTGATTTATCGAGAGGTACTCCTCATGTGTGGCTTTGGTATTTATGTGGTGTTTATCTATCATTGAGCTTAATCAACTTCTTCATTTGAGTGAACAGATATTAGAGTATCATCCACAGATGCTGCAAGAGTATCTTCGGGGTGGGGAGCAAACCAGCTTCATGTACCCAAGGTTAGAAAACACTTGTAAATCTATGCCCATGAATGGGAACTATGTTGCCTAACAACTGGAATTCAGGTCTAAAAGATATAGAAAGTCTATTTGAAAACTTTTCTGCGAGCATCACAAGTAACGTTTTCTTTTCTTCTTCAATTTAATAGTGGCGTTGATCGGTTCAAGCGACAATTTGCACATCTTGAGGAACTTTATGGTAAAGGTGAAAGAAGTACTCCTTCACTTCAGAGACAGCATGCTTCGTTGCCTCGGTATGCTCCAAAATTTTTAGGAATCATATTAGTTTTGTGCCCCTTTTTAAGCATAAAACCCAGGAGCTACCATCGTATTTAGATTGGGTGGAAAAACCTCTATTTTGTCTACGGGTCATATTTCAATTAGCTTGATCAACTGTGCTGCTATCTTCCTTTCAGAGAGCGAGTTCCTGTTTCCAAGGATGAGAGTGTTATTGAAAATAATGACACAGCTTCAAATTCTCGGTTCTCAGACGGCTCGGAAAACACAATTGCAGAAGGGGAAAATGGGACTAGCAAAGGAAACAGTAGCGCTCGTAGCCTATTGAAGAGCGCTAGCATTAGCGCCTCTAAATGTGTTGTTGTGAAAGAAACAAACGAATCAACGGTAGACTATTCGCTCTTATGTCTTGCAACCAACAACAGTTTCCCATCGTGGAACCTAGCAAATGTTGTGTACATATCTTATTTATTCCCATATTTATTTCTGCTTCTGCAGGAGGAACCAATCGCCGAAGCAGACGATGAGACGGTGAATGCCTTGTCTCGGGATGTTGCAGCTATTAATGCGTGATCAAAACTTGGAATTTGCTTTCTCGTAGTTGGCTTGGCGCGTTACCCATTTCCCCCTGATTATTGGGAAGGGGGAGTTCATAGTGATTCGCACCAAAAATTCTCTTTTATTTTTGGTTTTAGTCTGGACAGAAGCTAACAATAGAAGTATAGTATCGGGTATCGCATGAGAACACTCTGGCTGCCGTGTAGCTTACATTTGAGGAGTGCAAGAGTTGAATTTTGTACTATAATGAAAAAGGAGAACAGACGTACTGTTTTGTCATGTTCGTTCATTGATATACCCATAATCAAGTTCTGATGTCTAGTTTCCGCATTAATACGATGAACGTCTTTATTTTTCTGAAAAGGGGGGGGGGGAGGTCGACTACAACTGTTCTCAAGTTGGGCATATTAATCTTGTCTAAGATGCTTATTTTAGTAGTTAAAATGTACTCTAAACCATTAATTATTCAAATGATTTTCTAAAGTCACGAGCTTAAATATGCTTATTCGAGTATGGTATATTTAGATAAATGTGCAGCCACTGACGTTTTAATAATTCATAATCGAATATAGTGTCTTTTAATCAAATGCCCCGATCGAAATGATGGTTCTGACAAGCCGATCTGGCGATGGAGTCCTAATTTCTCTTTCCAGATTAGTTCTGCTTATTCGTTTCGGACTGCACAACTTTGGGATCGAAAGCAACCTATATGGAATGTGATTTGGGAGTTGAAGGTACCCCCAACGTATCCGCTTATTTCTTAATTTGGCTCGCCTCTAAAGAAAGGATAATGACAAATGTTGAACGCTGCCGTCGATCCATTGTTCATCAACCCCACTGCCCTTGCTGTCTCGAAGCTGTGGAAACTACCACCCTCGCCTTAAGGAATTGCAGGTATGCCCAAGCTGTTTGGAGAGTGATTCTCCCCAACTCCGACTTTCATCTTTTCTTCCTTACAAGACTTTAAGATTGGATGCTGTCCAACTTGAAAACCACTTATCTTCATATAGGCAGCAACCTATCTTGGCCTTTAGTTTCGCCTCAACTCTCTGGCAAATATGGAAAAATCGAAATGACATGACCTTTAATCGGCTCGATTCTTTGGCTGTCTCTATCGCTACTAGAAGTATTACATGGGCAAGATACTATTCTGAGAGTTCCTGCACTGGTGTCCATATCAGAAACTCCATCGCTGCTCCTATCCATTGGCATCCTCCGTCTGGGGGCTGGATGTGTTTGAATACGGAAGGAGTTGTTTCTTCAGGTACAGCTACTGGCTCCATTGGCGGCCTTTTCAGAGACAATGAGAAATCATGGATTTCGGGGTTCAACAAAAAGATCGGCATCACCAATCCTCTACAATGTGAATTATGGGCCATTTAAATTGGCTTACAACTAGCTTGGGACTATGGTTTTGAGAAGCTGTTGATCCAAACTGACAGTAAAGAAGTTGTCCGTCTCCTCCATGATCATAAAGCTGCATCAAGCTCCAACTCCCTGGTTCGAGCAATTGAAAGATTTCGCCACAGAAGCTGGGCTATCGACATAACTTGGATTGATCGAGCCTGCGGATAAATTGGCTAAACTTGACAGATTTTGCTTTACAGACCTTCGATGTGCCTCCCACGCATTTACTGCAATCTTCAGATTATGACAAACACCTCTTGATGTAAACTTTATGTTTTGACTTCCCTACAATACAAAAAAAAAAGTAAACAATAAAATAAAAAGTATTGTATTTTTAATTAATTCAGTAATATGTTTTTTAATTATTTCTTAAAAGAATGTATTTTTTTATCAACCATTTGTAACTGAACATAATATATATTATAGACTTTCAAGGGGAAAAAAAGAATATATATTATAGAGGATTGGTTCATTTGTATTAATTTAAAATAAAGTGAAATTTATATATTTCGTAATTAAAAAAATAAGTATATATCCATACAAAATATATTATAAAAACAGAGATCCATTTTCATGTGTTTCGTAAGAATAGTAGTTGTCCCGAATTTTTAAAAATTCCAAATCCTTTTCAAAGATTTTTCTAAATAATAAATGATAACTGAACGTGAGCATGTGCTATGCACCCAAGCTTCATGCACCTATACCTCTATAAATTGGTCCAAACAAACTATGCAATCAGCACCCAAAACACTAAACCATGAAAACTATATCAGCTGCAGCTTTGTTCATCTTCTTTCTCTTCTCCGTATCCAACGCTGCAAAGGAGCCGGTGCTCGATACTGATGACGAACCTCTCCGCTCCGACGTTGAATACTACATCGTGTCAACGATACCAGGTGCTGGTGTTGGTGGCCTTGACTTAGCCTCCTCATCTGAAATCTTTTGTCCGAAATTCGTAATCCAACAAAGATTTTCAAACGGTAGGCCGGTGTTCTTTCGTCCCGTTGACACTAATGATCCCGTCGTCTATGTTTCCACCGATGTAAACATACGGTTCATCGGCATAGACGCGTTATGCCGAGCAGTGCCTACATGGAGCGTCGGCAATTATGATCCTTCGGCGGGACAATGGTGGATCACAACCGGTGGGGATGTAGGTAACCCTGGTCCTCAAACTTTGTCCAACTGGTTCAAGATCGAGAAAGCTGGATCTGGTTACAGACTGAGATTCTGCCCTTCGGTGTGCGATTCGTGCGTAAGCTTATGCAACGAAATTGACAGATTTTTCTTATGATGGGAAGGTTCGTTTAGGTCTCACTAATGGAAAAGGGGAGCCTTTCGTCTTTGTCAAAGCACCTAAAGCCATAAAACAAGTTGTTGACAATCAGTGATGATCTTATGTAAGAACCGAACGTGTAGTCTGTTTTAGTTTCTCAGTAATGAATAAAGTGCATGGTTCACAAAAAAAGCATCAATGTAGTGAACTATGTCGTGTAAGTTCGGGAAATGTGATGTTCGATTGTGGTTTGTTTTCTACTTTCGTGATTTGTCTTTCATCCATAATTAATTTAAAATTTGAAATTATATCGAGCCTTGACCAAACGTATTAACTTATCAGGACCCTGGTTGTTATCAGGACTGCCTTACCTTGTTTCTCCTATACTTTCTTTAATGAAATTTCATTTTCATTGACAGAAAAAAGGACGTATATGATACTATTAATCCAATGAAATTTATTTTTCCTTCTCGACTAAATATACATTTCGGCATTTGGATTTAACTTTAATGTGTAATTTGATGTTTGTTTTTTTTGTCTAATTAAGTACATGAACTTATATTTAGGATTCAATTGATACCTAGTTTTTTTCCAATTTGGTACTTGAACTTAACTTGTTTGTTCAAATTGTTGCCCAACATTACTTGAACTTAACTTGTTGGGGGTCATATTTTGCGCTTGTGTGGCTTACGGAGGGCTGTCCTTGACCGGGACTCTGAATTGGCTTGGGCTTTGTGCTGGTTTAAAGGGTAAGTATTTGCTCGTGTTTATCATGAAGCTTGCTTGGAATGTTCACATCTACTACATTTGGAAGGAAAGGAATTCTCTACACTTTAGAGGTGAATCTTGAGCAGTTGACGATATTGTAAATACTATAAATGATATTGTTAAAATTAAAGCCAGGAAGAAGAATAACTGTGAATATTAGGCTATATTCGATGTGGGGGTTTATCTTAGTTTTGTGGGTTCCCCTTTCTTTGTAATGTACACGTTGCCTGCTTCTTTGGATAATGAATTTCAAACTTATCCAAAAAAAAAAAAGATAAATGATTTATTTGAACCATGAAGCCAAGTTTATGTATAAGGATGGCTATAATTCAAGTCAAGTCGAATTTAACCCTGACCAGAGTATAACAATCTTCTACCCGTCATTCGACTTGAAAATACGATCCTATTCTTAAGGCAAAAACTTGCACATTACCTAATCCGACCCAATACGCACGCACATAACTCGAATCCAACCTAATTTTATCTTTAAAAACTCAACTTGACACGAACCAAATTCATTAAAAAACTCAATATTGTCAACTCAAATCGATTAAAAACCATCGAGTTTGCGTTAAATATCCATCCCTATTTCAATTTGAACATAAAAGTCAAGTTTAAGTACCTATTTGGATAAAAAAAGTTTAGATGTCTAATTGAACCTTAAAATCAGGTTTATGTACATAATTTGAGAATAAAAAACATTTAGGTACTAAATTGCATATTGAAGAAAAGTTCATGTACCAAATATATATTTACCATTTCTTCTCCATGGTACAAGAACAAGACCCAATCCTTAAGCCCATACTTATCTTTTGGAACCCAAAATATTAATGGATCTTACTCAACAAGAAAGAACAATGTTGTTTTTAAATACACAGTCATTCAAATGCGGCTAGCCGTCCTTATCACGAAAAAACAACGCCGTCAACAAACAACGATTGTCCTTTGATATTGTTTCTCTTGAAATGAAATCTCATTTTATTGAACACAGTTTCCCTTGAAACGATAAAAAAATTTGTTCATTTTGAAATAACTTTTATCTCTCTCGAGATGGTTTCTCTTGAAACAAATTTAAACAAATTTTGTCTTACTTGAGACAATTCTCAAAAGTAAAAATTTTATCTCGTATGGGATAACTTCTTTTGAAACTAATTTTGTCTCGCTCGAGACAGCTTCTTTTGAAACCTAAAGCATCGACATCGTTTCTCTTGAAACAAGTTATTATCTCACTTAAAATTTCTTTCTCTTGAAAGTATAACTTCTTGTGTTATAAAATTAACTCTTTTGAGAATGTTTCTCTTGAAATAGAATTTTGAAAATATCTCTCTCGAGATAAGAAGTTTTCTTTCAATCTCACATGAGGCAACACCAAATTGCAAAATGAAAGATAAAGCCGAATGAAAACTCGTTGTCTTTTTATTTTTTCCATATTCTTGTTAACACTGTAACACCCTTAACCTGTATCCGACCCGAATCCAGGTCTGAGGTGCCACATGGACTTTTCAAACGTTTTTCTTTACAAAATAACAAATCTTCAATTTCATAATTCAAGAAAAATAATTACTTTACATTAATTTAAAAACATTTGATTTACACAACATATCAGAGCTTATACAATTCAAATATTTAGATTACATGCCAACTATGTTCTGTATAACAAAATACATATACTTCTATAGATTTCTGATCTGATCAGTGGAAAGGAAAATCTAACCTGTCTTGCTCCTCTTAGCGTCTCTTCTCGCTCCCCAGAACCTACGTGTGAAACACTCACACGCTAAGTCGTTGACTTAGTGAGGCATAAAACATACATATAATTGAAACTCTATATACTTAACAATATTGCATGAATATATATCATACTATGACATCACATAGAATCACCCATATATATAAACCTTATATAATCAAATATATATATATACATATCACTCGTCATTTTCATCATTAACCTTATTTCACTATCAACAATACTATCATTTATATGTTTTAAGCATATCCTCTTGTACCTAACATTTTAATCAACATATGACTCATTTAACCAAACAATACACACATTCTCGTATAAATCTTGTAATACAATTCATATCACACAAAAGCTTATACATTACATGTAATATATTTATTGTTATATCTTTGTTAGTGCATGTACACATGTAAGAACTAAAGGTATGTGAGTACATAGAGGTTGCGCACATATGTTGTCACCACAGCTCGTATAATTCCCACTAGGGGCGTGTAGAATTTGTCCCAAAGGACCACTATGTCCCGAAGGACCACATAGAACACATATGTCCCGAAGGACCACGTAGAACCCTCGACTCTTGACATGCCAACTATATATCTAGATCTCATGACACATAACATGGGCATTTCCTTTTATATTATTTCACATATTTTTATCACATAGGCACATAGCTTCTTATCACATAGCTCCTTATCATATCATTCACATCATATTACTTATCTTTTGTGATCATGTAATCACATCACTTATTTCACATAAGCAACCAAATTATCACATATACATGTACTCATATCATTACTCATTTATTCACATAACTTATTATCGGGTAACTCATGTCAAGTTTTCATATGATTCCAAATTCACATATCACCTGGCTTATTTTGTGTTTATATATATATATATATTCTCATATATATATATAAACTCATATTTTCTCATCTTATAACTTATATTACATATGCATGTAATCTTATGACTTATTATCAAGTAGTTCAAGTAATATTCTTGTATTGTTTCACATATCATTATCATATAATACATATCACATAAATGCATATCACATAACATGAAATACAAGTAAGGCATGTCCACATTGTACACCATCCTAATCATACTTTGACTCATGCTATCATATATTCAAAATATCGAAAAAGACTTATCACAAGTCTAATTTCTATGTAGAAATACATATATTCTAATAGTATGCACTCACCTGGTCTCACTAGTCAATACCAATTTCTTATCAACTTCTTATATTTTCCTTGATGACTATTACTTGTCAACTTGTACGGACTTCACTCTTGATCGATATCTACACAAATACACAATCCAATAAATTTCGAGATTCAAATTACTTGATACAATGCATATCAATACAACTAAATAAAACTCCAATTCAACTTTTTCAACTTAAGGGGTATCGGTACTTCAAGCACAGTATCGATACCTCGACTCTAGGGTACCGATACCCTTTCTAGGTATCGATACTAATATTAGGTTCGATGTTCCCTGGTATCGATACCCTCCACGTAGGTATCAATACCCCTTCCTTATGGTATCGATACCTCTTGAATGCCTTCCTTATTTTTCTCTAGAGGTATTGGTACCTGATGAAGCAATATCGATACCCAACGCTTAGAAATCACTTTTCTTACCCGAAAATTCACCCAAACTTACTTAATTCTTCTTATATCACTTGAACTCATCTTAATATCCAAGCTTTTATCTTAAATTTGGAAACCAAGAATCTTACCAATTTATCAACATGTTCTAAATTTGTTTCTAACACTTTGAATTTCTTATTTTGACTGATGAAAAGTCAAATTTAACTTCAAAACTTATTTACTAACCATATCTCAATAATTCCCTTAAAACCTCTTTACCTTCAATCTTACATAACTTAATCCTCTTTGAGTTTTATGTCATCTTAAGCTTTCCTTAATATTTTCTATCACTCCAAGAATCAAAACCAACTTTAAAACAAAAGAATTAACCAACTTGAGACCAACTTACCTTACCAATGGAGCCACGGGAAGAGAAGAGGAAGAAGACAACCCAAGCTTCAGAATTTTCTTTCCTTTTTCATTCCTTTCCACGTGTGAGTTCTCTTATAAACGGAAAAATAAAAATCTTTCTTGTCAAATGACCATTATACCCCTTGCTTCACTTAAATCATCCTTCACAAAATATTACCAATTAAGTCCATGAACTTTTAAATCTTTTTGAATTCATGCTTCAAAGTTTCAAAATTTCTATTTTGGTCACTAACCCGACTTTTGAGATGTTACAAACACAAGAATGGATAAAGAGAGGTAGTTGTAGACACATGTTTTCGTCTGTGTTTTAATAATTTATTTTATTATTATTATTATTATGGTCATTTTATTTTACATGCCTAATTACAAATACAATCGGGGCCCAAATACAATACCTAGGCATTTTTACAAAACAAGCCCAAACAAAAAAAACCCTAGGCCCAAACCCTAGCCCAGGTGTTTTAAGG